TTTCTTCCGATAAAGAACTCAACTTCCACGATTTTAACATTATACGCCTGGATAGAAACGATTCTTATGGAGGAGTACTTTTAGGGATCAAAAAGTGCTACCCTTTCTACAAAATTTCCCTTCCGGCTCTATCAGGCATCGAAATTGTCACTTGCCAAATAAATGTGAAGAACAAAGACCTTTGCATAGCTTCAGTTTATGTTCCACCAAGAACAGCCATTAGCCTTAGTCAACTCTGGAATCTAGTTTCGATTCTTCCATCCCCAGTATTAATTCTGGGTGATATGAACTCCCATGGTACTGGGTGGGGCGATCTATATGACGACAATAGAGCGGCTATTTTTTACGATTTATGTGACGATTTCAACTTGACTATTTTGAACACTGGTGAAACGACACGTATAGCAAAACCTCCGGCTCGAGAAAGCCGACTCGACTTATCTTTGTGTTCAAGATCGCTATCATTGGATTGTCTGTGGAAGGTTATCAATGATCCCCATGGTAGCGATCATTTGCCAATCATCATTTCAATAAAGTGTGGCCCTCACTCTGCAGAACCATCTCGGGTTCCATTTGATCTTACAAGGAACATCGACTGGCAGAAATATGCAACGGCGGTGACAATCGGTGCCGAATCAATAGATACGCTTCCACCATTGGAAGAATATCGATTCCTCGCCGATTTGATATACAAAAGTTCACTGGAAGCACAAAAAAGAAAAGTTCCAAGTGCGCCCTTCAAAAGGAGACCAGCCACACCTGTATGGGACGAAGAATGCACAAAATTGTATGTAGAAAAATCTGCTTTTCGTAGACACAAAACTTCCACATATTTCGAGGAATATTCAAAGCATGAGACAAAGCTGAAACAATTAGTCAAAGAAAAGAAATGCGGTTATTGGCGCAATTTCGTCGAGGGACTCTCACGAGAAACCTCAATGAACACCTTGTGGAGGGTGGCTCGGAACATGCGTAACCGCTCATCTTCTAATGAGAGTGAAGAATACTCCAACCGATGGATATTCGATTTCGCAAAAAAGGTCTGTCCGGGCTCAGTTCCAGCACAACACATTCTTCGAGAAGCATCTCCGAGCGGCGGCTCTCTGGATAGACCATTCACAATGCTGGAATTTTCTATGGCTCTTCTTTCATCGAACAACTCCTCACCGGGAAGCGATATGATTAAATTCAATCTTCTGAAAAATCTCCCAGACATTGCTAAAAGACGCTTGCTAGACTTATTCAATTCTTTACTAGAAAACAACATTGTACCGCCTGAATGGAGACAGGTCAAAGTAATATCCATTCGAAAACCTGGCAAACCAGCGTCTGACCATAACTCATACCGTACGATTGCTATGCTCTCGTGCATTAGGAAATTGTTGGAGAAAATGATCCTTCGGAGACTCGATCAGTGGGTCGAAACAAATAACTTGCTATCAAATACACAGTTTGGGTTCCGCAAGAGCAAAGGAACAAACGATTGTCTAGCGCTGCTTTCCACAGATATTCAACTAACCTTTGCGCACAAGGAGCAATTGGCTTCAGTATTCTTGGACATTAAGGGGGCTTTTGATTCAGTTTCCATTGAAATTCTGTCAGACAATATGCACAGATGTGGACTTCCTGGAATTTTAAATAATTTCTTGTACAATTTGTTGTCAGAAAAGCAAATGAACTTTTCCCTTGGACAACAGACAACTTCCAGAATTAGCTACATGGGTCTGCCCCAAGGCTCATGTCTTAGCCCTCTTCTTTATAACTTTTATGTCAAAGATATCGACAACTGTTTGGCAGAACAATGCACGCTAAGACAACTTGCAGATGACGGTGTGGTTTCCGTAAGAAGTCCACATGCCGTGGACTTGCAAGGACCATTGCAAAGTTCCTTAGATAACTTGTCTTCTTAGGCTAGGAATCTAGGCATCGAATTCTCGCCGCAGAAAACTGAACTGGTAGTGTTTACTCGAAAGCGGTACCCAGCCCAAATGCATCTTAATCTTTTGGGCAGAAACATTACTCAATCATTGTCCTTCGAGTACCTTGGGGTCTGGTTTGATTCAAAGTGCACTTGGAATCCCCATATTACGTATTTGAAGCAAAAATGACAACAGAGGATCAACTTTCTCCGTTCAATTTGCGGCACATGGTAGGGTGCTCATCCGGGAGACCTCATAACGCTTTATAAAACAACAATTCTCTCTGTTCTAGAGTACGGCTCTTTCTGCTTTCTCTCGGCAAGAAAATGTCACCTAATAAAATTGGAACGAATTCAATATCGTTGTCTGCGTATTGCTCTCGGCTGTATGCACTCAACGCATAACATGAGTCTCGAGGTTCTGGCAGGAGTAACACCCCTTCAGAACCGCTTCTGGGAGCTCGCTATTCGGTCGATGAAACCAAGTAGGCACTCATCTTATTTCCTTTCAAAGGTAAGGGAGCAGATGAGTGTGCTGGTCGAAAGATCATATATCATTACCTTTGTATGGGTCCCCTCACATTGCTTAATCCCAGGCAATGAGAAGGCGGACTCTCTCGCAAAGGTGGGTGCGCAAGAAGGCGAATTTTATTACAGGCAAATTTCACACGATGAATTTTACCATTTAGTGCGTCAGAGTACCCTTTCGAGTTGGCAAACCGATTGGGACAATGGAAATCTTGGACGGTGGTTACATTCAATTATTCCTAATGTTTCTTCGAGAGCGTGGTTTAAAGGCTTGGGCTTAAGTCGTGACTTCATTCGCGTGATGAGTAGACTTATGTCCAACCACTACTCGCTAGATGCGCATCTCAATAGAATAAACCTCGTGGACAGCAACATCTGTCGGTGTGGAAACGGTTACGATGACATCGAACACGCAGTTTGGCAATGTACGGATAATGACGCCGCCAGAGAGCGACTTTTGAATACCCTCGTGGCCCAAGGAAGACAACCCTATATTCCTATCAGAGACGTGTTGGATACCCGCAATCTCTGCTATATGCAGTCGATTTATGTGTTTCTGCAAATGTCTAGTATAAACATTTAATTCGTTTGTCTTTTGTATCTCTTTATTAGTTTTTGTTTGTCTTGTTCCCCGTCTCGATGAGTCTCATCGTCGCCCACTGGTCACCATAGCCGGTCGAACTCCAGACGAATCTAGAACCACACTACCGTTCATACTGGCGACATCACTCTGATGAGACAACGAAACCCTACCCCAAGCTCCTCTCCTTTTCCTATCCTTCGACAATGTACCCCTCTAACCTCGAGTAAGCCACGAGTATTCGGCCCAACTCCTACTAGACATAGAATTAAGCGAATTTTGTTACAAACAAAAAACAATGAATTATCGGCTCCGTAAAGCTTACGCGATTAAGCCTTACAAATAAACAAACTAGATAAAATAAAAAAAAAGATACTTGACCCTCAGGGTTTTAGATTGACGATTTGATTTTAAAGTGATAATATAAACTTTCAGATCACCCCGTTGTACCAGAAAGGCAAAATAAAAATAAAATTATGACCAAATTACTCTACAACCCCACCTGTGCTATGCTGCGGATGAAACCAATTATGCTGAATTTCTGATATTTGTTTTACAACGGACAATCAGGTTAATGAAATATAACAGGTTTTCCCCCTGAGTTCTCCATTTTGTATGAATATGAAATTTGGCATCCTCCACTGGATTCACCCGTCATAGCAAGAGGATTCAATAGAACTCAAAACTAGGCCAACCAGCGATGCTGGCGACGACATTGCTTTACCCGGAACCAAACACGTATGTAGATATACACATTAGGGTGCCAATGTAAAAAATTAAACCGACCGATACAAAATGATAATTGCATCGAAAAAAAAAATCCTAACAAAATTTTATCTCAATCGGACACGATTTGGGGTGCCGTGAAATCATCAAAGTTCGAACATTTTTTAAATGAAAAATCTCCAAAGGTAATCAGAATTTTTTGGTTTGTTTCCAAATGACTTAAAAATGCGTCCATTTATAACACAAGATCTCGACGTTTCATGCATTTTCAAGTCATTTGGCATTACAAAAAATCAGTTTCCAAAATTTCATGCAGGGGAATTTACGTATTCTCGTCAATCTAAGCAGCGTCGAGATTTTTCAGATGAAAAAAATTCAAAACACTAACGATTTTTCCCCATCCCACATTATTTCCGATTGGGGACAAATTTTCCATAGGGTCTTGTTTCGAGACAATGAACATTTTGGACGAAAAAATTCGACGGCCACTTTTTTCCCATACTATTGGCACCCTAATACACATAGCTTCCCTAGATGTAGTTGGTCGTTTGAGTGGGTAGCTGACTGCTTTATACTGGTTGCCGCTGTTTTGGGATAGCATAACCAATTTTAGAGACACAAACAAAAAATTTATGGGAGGGTGTGGTGAGTTTTTAGAGCGAAACTTTTAAGCAACGATGTTTTGGTCCGCAAAAACAACGCGAAAGCTGATTAAATCTGAAAAAGCGGCTGAAATTGAATTTGTTCAAATTATAAACCATCGTATCCTAGAAGGTGACAACGTGCCGTTCGTCGGATGGGTTGATATTCTGTGGAATGTCATGATGGATTTGTGTTGTTGTTGTTGTTGATTTGGAAATTTTGTATAATGTAATGACTTAAGCTTTTGGTAACGATCAAGAAAACATAATTTATTTAATCTGCTAGATTATTTTCCATACAGCCCATATTGCCTTTCACTAACGAAAACCCTTTGCTTTGTAACTTTTCAGAAACACTCAACGCTAAATTGTTCAAATGAGGTCAATGATTCTACAATCGCAGCAGCGGCCATAATTTTTCCTCTCACCAAGAAAAGTGCCATCATTTAACGATGTCTGGTCCCATAAAATCGCAACTTCGCATAGCAGCAATATAGGAGGATGTAATTCCAGAGTGCGGTGGCGGCGGTAGCAATAATGATTCTTTCATTCTAGAACGATAATAAGTGACGCTATAAAACGTCACAAACCGTTCAGAACCGCTCAAAGTCAGGGAGGTGTAACAGGAGAAGACAAAGTTTTTAAAGTAGCCATTCGCGATATAATGTCTCTGCTGAAGTACAGTAAAACATGGCCCTCGATTCTGACCAAAATGGCGGTTGTTCAGCTGCGTGTTGATTCTAACGGGAGAACCTATAGCTCAATAGTGGAACCGGCGTGCCTAACCGGGCCGACGAATCTAGTCGAATCAAATCCCAACTTCCGGATGGGGCATCCGCAGATTTTGATTCAGACTCCGGGGGAAACCCAGATGTCCCTGCCGGATGTGGCGAATGTGGGGGAAGTGAAATTATCGGGTGCAAGTGTCAATCAGTGCATATGTGGTAATGCTAGTGCTGGTGTAACTGTGCGTTTGGAAGAAGAAGATCACTTTCGACGGCCTTTTCGGTCGGCGTCGATCAAGATCGATAGCTGGGATTACATCTACACGGAGAAGATAGGCACCAAAGCGGTAGGAAGCAATGGCGTTAGGTGAGTTGATGTTGTACAAGTCATGCATTTGGAGGGTATTGGTAATCTTTGATAATCGGTTCTATACCACAAGGCCAAAATCAGTGCGTTATGAAATAAAAGTCTCAATCAGGGCTCTACATTTTTTGAAGCTCTAAATTGAGTTCGAGTTTTTTCTTCTTTCAGACAACGTGTTTTAACGCATCATTTTCCATAAGGAGACATCCATAAGCTACGTCACACATTTAAGGAGGGGGGGGGGGTGTTAAAAGAAACGCGACAATTTTTCTCATTCAGGAACACAAACATTTGCCAACATATTTTAAACCACATCTTGAACTTTGACTGCTATAATTTTTTTCTTAATGGCAATTGATAAAAGTATGTTGATTTGATCTATAAGTATTTTATTTTTATTTTTTGTTGATTTTGGAAAGTATTTTAAATCAGAAAAAAAATTAATGTTGGTAAACCTACTTTATGAAATATCAAATTCGGACAGGATCGACATGTATCACGCTGGAAGACTCGAGTTTGAATCACATTCCTGGACAAGTCGCAAAGGACTAAAACATGGGCTATAGTGACTACAGCCCTGACATACTGTATCCTGTCTTGTAGATATGTCTTAATCTATTCAAACAACATTCCATTGATACCGAAATTAGAAGCAGCACGCATGATACCACATCAAAGGCCTAGCTCATATCCATATCAGTGATGCCACATATACAGATTTATCTGTAATTATACAGTTTTTTTTCTCAATATTTCGATACAGATTACAGATTTTTAGAAAATACACAGATTTTTCAAGTATGTGGATTAGGTAGGGTTACGGTATGTAATGTGGGTCTAGTCCTTTCATTCGGCCTATCACGCAAATAAATAATTAATTAAGGAATATTACACAAAAAATAAGGAAAATATTGATCACTGATGGTTGATAAATGTGTACCACACACAAATCAATTTATATCACAACATTTCAATACATTTTCAGCTCTCGTAAGTAATAAAACTGGTTGAGAATATCACAATGTTCGGAGTTTTTAGCCGCCATGACTTATAAGGTTAAGATGGGAAGGTTGACTGACGATCATCAAATGGCCTGATTATGGCATTTATTGATTGGAATTACCTGATAATACACACTAGACGTAAAACTTACAGTTGCTGTTTGAATATTTTATGTTTATTTTAATTGTTTAACAACGTTTTCACAAGTAAAACATGGACCCAACTTTAGGGACACATTTCTTTTCTATGTTCCTAACTATGGCCCATGAAATTCATTTGACAGCATATAGCAATAAGAGTAACGTCAACAATGTTGTTTTGCATTTGGATGATAAGGAACGAACAGGAAGGGAGATTTTTTCTGCCAAACCTGTATAATGAACATCACAATGTTCTGATTTAGATATTCTGCGGTCAAAAGACGATAAGCGAAATTTTTAATTTTTAATTTTTAAATTGAGTGATTTAATGTAGTTTTCGTAAAATTTTCTCTAAGAAATGTTTTGAGGAATGAAGAGCATTAAGTTAACAGTGATAGTGATAAAAAAAAATACATCAGAAAACGTTACCAAGAGCGTTTTTTTGAGGATCAAACAAGATAGGACGAAGTTGCATCCATAAATAGACCCAATTTGGGGACAATAGACCCATATTACATACATTTCCCTCGTGAGTTATTGTCTTAAAAAAAGTAAGTTTTTCAACTTTTCGTGGTTTCTGATAGCAAACGACATGATAAGCATATCTAAGCATACCATTTAGCAGTAGAATATCGTTTGCAGGTAAATTCATTGATGAGTTATGATTAAAAACGTAATCGATGGCTGCATATTAGACCGAGGTTAGGGACGTATACCCTATATTCGATATTATTTTTAATTTTAAAAACTTTAAACAGATTAAAAAGATTTTTTAGTATGAAAATACAGATTGAATCTTGAAAAAATGTGGCAACACTGATCCGTATATACAAAGTCTACTTGGTACCCTTTGGATATGTGATTCGTGACCATGGAACTGAATTCACACAGGTTCGTGACGACTGACTTCCCTTTCAAGAACCCATGCTGTTTGATGAAACACGTCGCTCGAACAGTTTTTGCATCGCGGACTGAATCGATACAGCCCAGTAGCTCGCAGCATCAGAACGAAAGCCCTTTTTACGTATTGGAGTTATGTGTGAGATTTACCATATAGGCGGGAAATAACCAGACGAAAGCTATGAATTGAAAAGAATAGACAGGGGCTCGACGAGCTCATCCTTGAATTTCTCCAAAAACTTATTTGAAAATATATCTGGTCCTGCTGACTGTCCTGAGTCTAGATCCGACAAACTTTGTCTCACTTCTTCTCGAGATAATTAACGAACGCTTCTTAACGCCTGTCTAGCCTAGCAACGCCAAACGAAAATGATTAAGAAGCCAGGGATGCCAGATGATTTTTTTCCAAAGTGTGTATGAGTGTCAAAAAATTGGTCAATATTTGTCTGTATTTTAGAAAAATCGCCGCATTGCTGATTTCGTATTTCCCTTATATATTTTGGCTACAAAATTGCTCACCACACACTAAACTAAATAAATAACCATTATTGCTGTTTAAAAAAAAATGTAATCCCGTCCAAGGTCCATGTATCGACCATCGGAATTAAGTGACAACGTAAAAAAGGAACATAGGCATGTGAGTAAGGCTAGAAAAAGGGAAAATCTATTATTTTAAATGAAAATAAATGAGAAATGATAAGGCACTAGTATGCACGTTTGCTGTGTCCCTGGAAACTGGCATCGACGAATGGGCCATCTAAATTTGGCGGGATTAAAGCCGCTGGGATGGTTGATGGCGTGGAACTGAGTGAACAGACTGCCTGCAGAGTCTTAAAAGCCAAAAGTAGTTGATTAAATTCGCCGAATTTGATTTTCTAGTTTGTTGTTTCGGATATTGTTTTGGAATAACGTGTGTTGGGGGATTTAGGTTCGTTGGTTGAGCTGAATACTCCGTTTGTCTTTCCGTGCTCCAAATATACACCTTGTAAGCCACCTCATGTACCTTAGATCCTACGTTGTGTGTTTTTCCAGAATCGTGCTATTTGTCCTTCCAATTCCGATCCTTTTCCGAATATCCTAGGTATCCTTTTGCTCCTCTACTTTCCTTTCCTTCCACAATTGCAATAGAACTGAACCAATTCCACTTCCAAACACTTTATTTCAGGACCAAAGTTTAATACACTTTATTTGTACGGGTTTGTAAAGCGCACGCGTATATATTTTTTGCCTTTATTCGTTCGCTATCGGTTGGCTAACTAAATTCACTGTTTCGTTATCTGTCTATCATACCTAGGAATTCATGTACTGTCTCTTCGTGTTCTATTCGTATTGAGTGTTCATTTAGGTACTAATAGTGTAAGTATTTAGTGAGTGTCTTCTATATGTGGTGAATGTATAACAGTTCTGTATCAACCAGTGTTGTAAATTCAATTTTAAATAATTCAATTATTGCTTAATACTAAAACATCCAACATTTCCGCCCTCCTTGAAACTAAGTTTCAACATTCCTGAACAAGCCTTGCTTATGTTAGATAACGTACAAAAATTTTGCTTAATCCCTATTCGATGAATTCAATTAATATCGGCAGAATCCTCGGTGGGTACCGGGCAGATGCGGTTTGCTGGACGCCTGTAGGTACCTTTAGACGTCTTGATCGTCACCACTCGTATAACTCCGTCTGCGCCAGGGTGAACCTCGGTTATCCTCGCTAGGGGCCATTGAAGTGGTGGTAAGTTGTCCTCCCGAAGAATCACGATGCTGCCTACACGGATGGTGCTTGGTAGGCGGTTCTTACTTGCTTCCTGAAGTCCAGTGATGTACTCTTGACTCCAACGCTGCCAGTATCGTTGGAACATCTGCTGCCGTTGCTGATAGTGGGCTAAGCGGTTAGTGGGTATGGCTGTAAGATCGGGATCGGGGAGGGCTTTCATAGAAGTCCCGATCAAAAAATGGGCTGGTGTTAGGGCATCGAGGTCTCTAGGGTCGCCTGATAATGGGGCTAGAGGTCTAGAGTTAAGGGCGGCCGATATTTGTACGAGCAGGGTGCAGAAGTTTTCATGACTCAATTGGTTCGTACCGACTTCCTTTTTCAGGCAACTTTTGGCGGAGCGTACTGCTGCCTCCCACAATCCACCGAAATTGGGGGCACGGGGTGGAATTAAATGCCAGGATATTCCTTGCTGTGACATTTCAGATCCAATAGCTTCTTGGGCAGCTTTGCTGTTGAGGCTCTTGTACAGTTCGTACAATTCGTGTTTAGAGCCTTGGAAATTTGTAGCATTATCTGAATGGATCTGCGATGGAAGTCCATGGTGTCCAATGAATCGGCGAAGTGCAGATAAGAATCCAGCAGTTGACAGGTCCATGACTAGTTCCAGGTCTATCGCTTTGGTCGTAAAGCATATGAAAACTGCAATGTAACATTTCGGTGGGGCTGCTCGACGGTGAGGGGGCTTTAAATAGAAGGGTCCACAAAAGTCCACGCCAGTTATGAGAAACGGCCGAGCTGGGCGTATTCGCGTAGATGGAAGCTGTCCCATCGGTTGTTCAATCGATGTGGGGCTCGACCGGAAGCACCGATGGCACATTCGAAGTACAGAACTGACGACTCTTTTGCCATGAATTGGCCAGAATTCCTGCCTTGTAGCAGCGAGCGTAGCTTGCTGTCCTCCGTGGTGTGTTTGAAGATGATAGTATTCGATGAGTAGGCGAGTGAAGACATGTGATTTTAATAATACCGCTGGATGCATTGTCGCATAGTTCTCCAGCGAGTGTCGTAGTCGTCCGCCAACTCTGATAATGCCACCCTTGTCTAGGAAAGGGCATAAAAGCTTTAACGGTGATTTATGTGGAACTTGATAGCGCCTTTTCAAGGAGTTGATTTCTTCCAAGAAACATTCTTCTTGAACCAGCCGCACGAGGGCCATTTTTGCAGAGTTTATCTCATGGACACTCAAAAA